TTTTTTACCTTGAATTCAAATTCTTTCTTTTATAATGTCTCAATTGGTTAAAAATTTATAATTTTAAAATTAAAAATTTTAAATTTGAATATTGAGATAGGTGTAAAGAGATTAAAAAAAAGTAGTTATTAACTCATCACCTAAGGTTAAAAAAAAAAAAAAATACTTGACCCATAACTCAACTATATTTAATTTCAAACCCAAATTTAGTTTTCATTTGGACTTAGAGTGCTCTTATTGTATCTTCCAAGATCCAAAAGAGTAAAATGCTGAAAATATTCCCTAGGCCGTATGCATGAATGGAAATGAATATTCTTCATAGCAAAATTTTTGAGTTGTTTCTTAATTAAAAAGGATTTGAGAGATGAATGATTTAATTGACTAACATCATTGCCTTTCTTAAATGAAATGCGATGGTGAGCCTACATTTATTATGCTGATATTGTATTGTTCTATGCTAAAGTTCTTTTTGAAATGAATCAAGCCCGTCAAGCCAATTAATTTATTTATCCATGAACTTAAAGAGTTTGGAGCATTAAAAAAAAAGTTTCTGTAGTGCTCATGTAATTGTGCCCGTTCACATGCAAATTAAATAGCAGGACATGGTAATATGGTATGTGCTACTTCAACCACAGTTGCATTAGCACCCACATGCACTTATTTTCTGTGTGTGCTCAACACCTGGACGATTTATGCACAAACATTTTACCACAACAGGAATTGAATAAGCCAACGTTTTGCGAGGGGCCAACTATTAATTGCACCAAAAATCCCCAACCATCTCCTTGGAGTTTCAGCTTATAAAGACATTACCCAAACCACCGACAATTGGCATATATCCAGAGATATTGCTTAAATGTCATACCCAAAATAAATGAAGAAGAAATAAAATTACTAATGTATCTTTGGCTAAACCTTTTATTTACATATTTACACTTAAAGTACATAATTTTTTTCACAGTCAACACTTTTTATAATTTTTATTTTCGGTTAACAATTTTTATAATTTAAAATTCATAAAAAATACTAAATGATCAACAAAGTCAAGGTATAAATAAAGGATTTGATTATTAATTTTTAAATTTTTTATGAATTTTAAATTATGAAAGTGTTAACTGATGAAAGTAAAAACTTTTGAAAATATTAACCATAAAAAAATAATGTACAAAATGTAAATATATAGAGTGCACTCGCAGTTGCCGCCGTTGGTTTGCAAGAAGGAATTAGGGGACAAACATTTGCTATTGCATTGGTTTTTGTATGTGTTGTATGTATTTCCAAACCAACTCTTTTTCATTCCTTTTGTGTTAGCTTGTCCTTTTATATATTGCTATGCTTACTTGAAATAGTGTTTGGCTTTATTTGTTATCAGAAATGTTTTGTGCAGTCCATATTTCACTGAATTGCACAAAACTAACCATTAGATTGGGGCAGGCCCTCCTTCATCTGATGGT